TACATCTACAAGGTGTTGAAGCAGGTCCACCCTGACACCGGTATCTCCTCCAAGGCCATGTCCATCATGAATTCTTTCGTGAATGACATTTTTGAGCGCATTGCCGCTGAGGCTTCCCGCCTTGCCCACTACAACAAGCGTTCCACCATCACCAGCCGGGAGATTCAGACCGCCGTCAGGCTTCTGCTCCCCGGTGAACTGGCCAAGCACGCTGTCAGCGAGGGCACCAAGGCCGTCACCAAGTACACTTCCTCTAAGTAAATTGCTTGGTTGCTCGGTTTCTCCGGTCTCCTACAACAACATCGGCTCCTTTAGGAGCCACAGAACATGCAAAAGTAGATAGAAATGACATTAACCAATTTGCCTTGTGCATTCTTTCAAAGTACAGTAATATCAACATATATATCAATGTAATAGTCGTTTGAATCGTTAGATTTCGAGTAAGGGATTCATTTTAATCGGTTTTACTGAAGTGTGTGTGTGTGTGTGTGTGTTTGTCTGTGTGTCTGTCTGTCTGTATGTATGTATGATTAAGGATAGAGGAAGTGTGTGTGTGTGTGTGTGTGATATACGAGAGAGAGAGAGAGAGAGAGAGAGAGAGAGAGAGAGAGAGATGAAAGCTGTGTGTGAATATATATATAGATGTATAGAAATATATGTTGAAAGTATATATGCCTGTATATCATAGTAACATATATGTCTTCCATAATTAGAAATATAACACATGCATTATGCATAGCATATCAATGAATAGGGTATGTATTAATGTAAGAGACAGAGAGTGGGTGAATAGATTTATATTAGACATACATGTGTATATGTATACAGATATATATATATATATATATATATATATATATATATATATATATATATATATATATATATATTTGATATATTATGTATATAGTTCTATATATATTATATATATAATGTACGTATATATGTCTATGTTGTAGGTGTGTGTGTGTATTATATAGATAGATAGATTTGTCAAGACATTATATTGATTTATAATATACAAAAACAGCATGTGTCATTCGATCTTCAATGTTATATAACATTATTATTATACACATAAACAAGCAAACAAGATAAAATATGCGGGGATATAAGCACGTGCTTTAATGGTTGCCGCAAGCTTTGATTTGTAATTGTATATTTCTTAGTGTTTTATATAAAATATTATATAATATATTGGTTGAGGTAGGTTAGGTGGGGTGTTTGGTGATTGTACAGTGTTTATTGTTGTATATTGATTATTGCCTACACACAAGTGTGTTTGTTTTTTTGAACTTTGAAGTCGGTCATTAACATATAGTCAATATTTTAGTCAGTCTGTTTGTCACATTATTATTATATTTAGTAATGAATGACTTATGTTTAAGACAGTGTGTGTCTGTATGTCTGTTTGCCGGTCGGTCGCTCGACAAATATTACCATGTATATTGTTGTAGTATCTGATATTTGGCATAGTACTCATACCGAAACGTATACGATAAGGAAATCAAGTGCGTTGACAACATGTTGAAAGTCAGTCATGCATGGCTTCGTGCCTTACCTTACTAGTTGCATACCTATCTATCTATCTATCTATGCAATATCATTGATTCTATTCGTCATTGCTGGTTACATTTGACATCTAAGACTAAAGCAAACAAGAAAAAAAGGAAGCATGTCATGTTTTCATCTCAATATTAATTAGTTTAGGCCCTGAAAAGGGCCGAGGAGGATGATTTTGATGTATGCAAGCAAGCTAGCAACCAAAATCTTAGGCGCGCTCTCCGCGGATACGGCGAGCAAGTTGGATATCCTTGGGCATAATGGTTACCCGCTTGGCGTGGATGGCGCACAGGTTGGTGTCCTCGAAGAGGCCGACCAGGTAAGCCTCGGAGGCTTCCTGCAGAGCCATGACAGCAGAGGACTGGAAGCGGAGGTCAGTCTTGAAGTCCTGGGCAATCTCACGGACGAGGCGCTGGAAGGGCAGCTTGCGGATGAGGAGCTCAGTGCTCTTCTGGTAACGACGGATCTCACGAAGGGCAACAGTACCAGGCCTGTAACGATGGGGCTTCTTGACACCTCCGGTAGCAGGGGCAGACTTACGTGCTGCCTTGGTGGCCAGCTGCTTGCGGGGGGCCTTGCCTCCGGTAGACTTGCGGGCAGTCTGCTTGGTACGAGCCATTGCGAATGATTGTTTGGAAACAGTCTGGCCGGCTTTTCAAGAGCTGAATTTATACCAGAGCGGGCTTGGCCGTGCGGAGAAGTGTGTGGCTGGCACAGTGTGCGTTGGCGCCGCCCATTTCCCCGGTGTAAGCAGGACCAGAGACCTGGCCAACTTTACCTGTGATCAAAGGAAATCCTTGATGAGAAATGGGACAATTAATACATGATGTCATCAACAAGGTGATTGCAAACACATGCGTGTAATGGGTCAGGTGACTTTGGATGGATTGGAAGGTGTAAACAAGTTTATTTGCTTAGAGCGGGCGGTTAAGATGAGCGGCCGGTTGATGCGGCAAGCCTGAGCGCTACGCGAGGGTAGGGAACAGGTACCATTGCTAGGGTTTGCCAGGGCGGATCATCTTCTCGTTTACTCGCAGCAAGACAAGTCGCTACCATGACTGGACGTGGAAAGGGCGGAAAGGGTCTCGGAAAGGGGGGCGCCAAGCGTCATCGCAAGGTGTTGCGTGATAACATCCAGGGTATCACCAAGCCTGCCATCCGTCGTCTTGCCCGTCGTGGAGGTGTCAAGCGTATCTCTGGTCTCATCTACGAAGAAACCCGTGGTGTCCTCAAGGTATTCCTCGAGAACGTGATCCGTGACGCCGTCACATACACCGAGCACGCCAAGAGGAAGACCGTCACCGCCATGGACGTCGTCTACGCTCTCAAGCGCCAGGGACGCACCCTGTACGGTTTCGGAGGTTAAACGTTTTCAACAAGATCGAAAACGTCAACCACCAAACGACAACCATTACCACCAAAAACCTTGGACCTATCTTAGGTCCTAAAATTATTACAGAGATATCATCGTTGACTGAATGGAGTTGATCGTGCTTTATTTTAAGTCTTGATTTCGTTAGCTTTTGGGCTTGTCGGCGTTAGAGGGAGCATGTTTGTGGGAAAAAAATCATTTACTTACAAAGAAAGAATGACAGAGTTTACCATACATTCATACATGGATAGAATCAATGCAATGATAGGCCTATGGCAACTTGTTTGGGTATCAGAGAGTGAAATAGATCCATGTTGTAAGGGGTGACTATTTTAAAACAAAACACACACACTGTTATGTTGACGGTTATTTATGAGTGGGTGTCTATTATTCAAGTCATATCAATAATTTTTGGCTGACACGACTCGACTTGATATATAGATGTTGGTTGTTTGTATACATTTATTGACCGTTATATAGTTTTTTGTGTGTGTACGAGGGGTGGTGGATTTGTGTTAATTACTAATTAACTACAAGGATAGCTTGACAAACAATATTGAATAATCAATAGTAGCGTCAATGTTGCAGATGAAGTCAGCATCATATTGGGGATGCACATGTTTGTTTGCTTTAAATTAATAGTATGTTTGTTAGTTAGTTATACATATATGCATTAACGAAGTAACACAAAGAAAATCACCAATTGTGAATAACTGAAGTATTGTGAGTAGGTCAGTCATAAACGTTTATGGAATATAAGTGAAAGAATATCAGAGCTTTGTCACATACACACATTCAAACCATTCATTCAGTCACACTCACTCAATCAATCAATCACAATGTACAACCAGATTCAAAGTCAATACACATCTCACACACAAACCAAACCAAAGACAAAGACAAACAAACAACTACTTGTATCAAGCATGAACACAGCAGAGCAGACCACACCACACCACAGCATAATCATACACAAGGACCAAACAACAAACACAACAAAAATGTAGTCAGTCAATCACTTACCTAATAACCATCTATCAATCAATCTGGAGGCTAGCTTACACGACCGACACAAAGATAGACAAAGAAACAAACACAGTTACATGTAGGCACAAACACACGAAAACAACAACAAAAGATCAAAGGAACAAGAAACATACACCAACACCAATAACAACAAACAAACAGGGGGGGAGGGGGGGGGACCCAACAACAAAAAACACAACAAACAACAACAAACCAAATTAAAAAGACAGAGTCAAATCAAAAAAAAGACAAAACATAACAAATCAAATCCAATCCATTTCATTTCACGTTACTTTACTTTGCTCTTGCCTCGGGGAGACCTACACGGCCGAGCCTTGGACTGTGTCACACAGAAATGGACTCTATGCGTAATGATACACACAAAATAGGCCTTATTCGCTGTATAAACACTGAGACACACAAATATAGGCCTTATTCGCTGTATAAACAACAGCTAACTACCAAACTGGTATTCCGGTCTTTTTGGCAACGCTTTTTTTTTGACAGAAAATATCTCAAAGTATCACGAGTAATCATTGTTTTACAGTCCGTACAATACAAATATGTTGAAACAAACTGTAGGCAAAGGTAGACTAAACACGTGTCAATGAACAAGTCTCAAATACTAGCTTATCATACCAAATAACAATTTCTGCAATCGATATTCACACAAATAATCACATATTAAACATGTTGCATGAAGGAAAGGTCCTGCCTTATAATAGGTTGGATCGTTCATGAGGAAGATGCTCATATTCATTACATTTTAAGAATGTTTGTTTGGAAGTAAATATTGTTGAAAATATTATTGGTGTTGCATTTATGTTTGATTTTATTATTATTAAATGCCTGTTGTACATGTCTTTATCAATTATTACAACCGCAAATTTGTTTATAAGTTTATTTTTTTCATGTATTGTATTTTTGGAAATTTTCTTTTAAATAACTATTGAACTCTGCATCAATATGTTGATACTCATTGATTTCATAACATTCAGATACTGATATGTAATGCTTATCACATTATTTTTGGGGTAAATACAAGGTGCCTTGGTGTCTCCCACATATTTGGTATAACTAAAGGGATCATGATACAGTAGTGGACTATGAACTCTGATAATTCCAGTGATATATATACTATTTTATATTGGATACAGTGTTATCTTGTTATGTTATCCAGAAATCATTTATGCAATCTAACACATTCATATATATCTTTAAAAATATGATATTGATGATAGGAAATATTACACAATTATGCATGAAATCATATAATATATATAATATATATATATATATATATGATTAGATAAAATGTAATATGATATTGATTATAGGATTTATAGCACATGGGTATGCATACACAAGTAAAGACAGATAGATACACACACACACACACACACACACACACACACACACACACACACACACACACACACACACACACACACACACACACACACACACACATACATACATACATACATACATATGTACATGCACGCACACATATGTATGTATGTAAGTATAGTACATGTTATTATTTATATTTTTACTTTTATTTATATATATATATATATATATATATATATATATATATATATTTATATATATATATATATACATACATATATATATAATTTTTATATTCATATACATATATATATATATTGTGTATCTATGCACACATACACATCTTTATGAAAAAATACATTAATTAATTATTGTATATACATGTTTATTTTATTTCCTTTTTTTCTTTCTTTTCTTGTCTTTTCTTTTTTCCCATATTTATTTTGTTTTGTATACATATACATTTATACGTACATACATATACATAAACATATGTCCATACTTATACATAGATACATACATACATGGATGTATATGTGGGTTTGGGTGTGGGTTCATGTGGGTGTCTGTGTGTGGGTGGGTGGGTGTGTGAAATTGTCATACATTTCTATCTTATTGTTTCATGTATATCACTTATATTAATAATTATATATATAACATTACATTTTAGCAATATTATACATTATCATCATGTTAGTTGGGTCACATATTTGCAATTATTATTATTTCTTTATTTTCTCAACAACATTAATCACAATCATTATATTTATTTGTCAGAACTCTTACAAATTTCATTCATATTATACTTTATCATATAGATTAAGATATTTTATTATTTATGTTATCAATATTCACATTCTAAATTTGTATTTTATATATATATATATGGATTTTTGATATGTCATCTTTTAATGCACCTGTATCTAAAGGGAATATGTATATATCTTTTTGCATTGTTTTAATCTTTTATTTTTAATTATTTGTATATATCTATATATTTATTTTATTATTTTTACAATATTTTCCATTTTTAATTTTTTTATTACAATTATAATGTTTTTTGCTTCTCATTTGTATTATTTATATTATTAGTACTTATTTATGCTTTTCTTATTATTGTATTTGTATCTATATTATTTTCTCTATTAGTATTGCACATTCTTTTATCTATGTGATGTTTATATTATCATTATTTCTATTAACCATATAATGTTACTGTTCTTCTTTATCATTTGGTATGACGGATTTTTATTTCCTTTTCTTTTCTTTTCTTTTCTTTGCTTTTATATATATCCTTTTTTTTTTTTTTTTTTGCATATGTATATTTTACATTCTTATGTTCCAGTTACAATAATTTGTGATAGTAATATTATAAATAATTGTTTTATACCTTTGTTTCTCATATTTCTATATTAGTGTTTCCATTATTGTATCTGTTTGTGCACATTTCTTTATTATATTTATTTTATCTGTTTCTACAATTTTATATAGATAGCTATTCATATTATTATTATTATTGATAGCCACTCAATAAATACACTATATATATAAGTAAAACATTATATCGTTAAATTATTTTTATAACATTTCACAGCATTTTGCAGGTTGTTCATATTATATATTTTGTCTTATCATTATATTTTTAGTAACCATTAAGTCATTAACATATCAACATGAGCAAAATTACTGTCAATTATATGAGCTTTAACATCTATTCTATATCATTTTGAACATATTCTCATCCATTTGCAAGCAATATGTGGGTGGGTGGGTGGGGGGTGGGTGGCTTGGTGTGTGTGCATGACTATATTTCTCCGAGTTACATGACCTTTTCATACAATATATCCTTTTATTGGTTTATTTGTCAAATATATTTATGTTTATTTGTATATATGTTTATTTTATTTTCCACATGTTGTTTCTCACAATATTTCCTTTGCCCAGCGTGCATATAGTGTCATTTGTATCATTTGTTGCAGATATGGCACAAATATATATATTTGCAGAGGCATTGTTAGTGTATGCATGTTGACCATGACTTTGATTGTGTT